AGCTCCACAAACCCCAACACTTCGCACAAGTCAGTGTATAAATGCTTGTCTTAGTGGAACACACTGGTGGTCCATTAGTCATACAATTCTAATCTTTCTTTCTCTACATGCTCTCCCCCATCCCAATCCTAGAACAGACCAAAGATGTACAGAATGAGTGAAACAAACCATGTGCTACCCATTCCCTACCCCCACCCCTATTCCATTGAGCTGGAGTTTTGAAGGTTGCTGATAGTTGTTGATGGGTTGCTGAAATGTGGGCAGAGGTGGGGAAAAACATATTTAAAATGCTAATATTTTAGTTTGTCTCAGTCATTGTATAGGGCGTAAAAGAACATATTACACCAATATGGAAAGACCCTTGAAGTAAAGCCAAAAAGATAGGGGCTGTGGCAATCAGCAAAACTCCCAAGAAGTCTAATGAGGAGAATGTCCCTGCTTAATCAAGAACACACCTTGTGCTGGGTGCTGGTGGCCTGTAATCTTAGCTGCTTGGGAGGAATGGGGGGATCACGGTTTGAAGCTAATTCAGGCAAAGTCTGTAAGAACCCAGCTCCAAAATAACCTGAGAAAAATGGACTGAAGGTGTGGATCAAGCAGTAGAGTGTTTTGCAAGCTTGAAGCCCTGAGTTCAAACCCCAGTCCCACTAAAAAACAAAACAAATAACACCATATCATGTAACCATGTGAAATAAGAAACCAAGTAAATCACAGAGACCTCATTCCTAACATTCTTGTTATAAATTTTTTTCTGAGTCTGTTTAGTAAGTTTTTTGGTCACAATCAAATAACATAAATGAGTATTTCAATTTTCTGATGAGTATTTTTTTCTCCAATTTTAAATTCATGGGCCAAGTAGAAAGTGAGGACTGGTACATAGTAAGATAATTAGAAGTTGAAAAACCCCTGAACTAAAGAAAACAAAGAGGGTTCTGTGGTTAACAATAAGATGGATAGATGTCCATAGAAGGTATGTCCAAGGTACATAATATAAATGCTTTAACACTCCCAAAACTCATTAGCTTAATACAACGAAGGCTTAGTTCTGGTTTAAAGTCCAGTGTGGATGTTTTTGGTCAAGCAGTTCTCCAAGTACTGACTCAGGTATCCAAACTTCTATGCTGTATCAAAATCTATGCTTCAAGGTCACCTTGGTAGGTAGAGGAGGGAGTTGGAGAATAAGGAAAAGACTCATCTACCCTTTAGCTGTCTTGGTCTGGTATTGATACATCACTTCTTACTTTCTATTGTTGAGAACTACTCACCCAGTCCAGCCTACATGCATGTGTCCAGAAAGAAGACACATACATACCTATGTGTCCAGAAAGAGGACTTCTGCCAGCTGAGAAAAAAAAGGACATTTTGGTGAGCATCTAGCAAGTTTTTCCACAGAAAAAAAATAGAAATATTGGTGTGGAGATTTAGAAGAAAAAAGTACTTATCAAGGAAAGAGTATTCTAGGGACACAGCAGCATGTGTAAAGATCATGAGGTAGAAATGACTTGGAAAGCATGAGGGATGAATAGAAAGCCTATGTGGCCAGAGTTCTGAGATTGGGGAGGAATGGGTTCAGGTACAGTTGGAAAACAAGGCCTAGGCAAGCTCACATAGGACCTGGGAAGGAGTCTGTCTTTTGTTCTTGGGCAATGAGAATCCAGCCAAGGATTTTGCCAGAGAAGTCACATAAAATGATTTACATTTTAAAAAGATTACTTGGCTGCATGGAAAATGAATTGCTCTGGGGAACAGAAACAATTAGATCAGTAAGTTAATTACTGCAGTAGTCAAATGTCCTAGAAACAGGTGACTGGTCTGAGAAATCACCCGGAAAGGAGGATGACCTGGAAATGAAAGGCTCTGATTACTAGTCTCCATCAGCAAAAAGCTGCAGAGGGCTTTGTGAAATTACGTAACTGGTGAGTGTGTGGAGCTGAACTGTGTTGTTTCTTTTGGAACTGTGTTCTCTTAGAACTATTTTACATGAACAAAAACAGTAACTGCAGAAGCAAGAACTCTACTTGGAGACCTCTAAAAGGGATGTTGAATAACCATGAAACATAGACTGATATTCAAACCCAACTTCATTCTTGTCTCTTACCAGCACTGCAAAGTTTACTCATTGGGGGTTACTCTTTCCCTGCTGTAAAGAAAAGCTGCAGCAAGCCTGTGATTAGTTAGCAGAGTCCTATGATCAGTTTAAGGGACAAATACAATCTCAAGAAATTAGATTAAGTCTAATTCTGTATAACAACAAGTAACCTGCACCTGTAGTGGCTTTAAGTCTTTTTCTTTCCTAGCTCTGCCTCACCTAAGTCAAGCCTGCTCTGGGGAGTGGAAGAAGTGTTCCTTGCTCTTCATATCTCCTCTCCATCTTCTTGCTGCTAATATTCTGGATCCAAGTGCTGAGAAGGAGAGACAAGAGGATAGGACAGTCTGGCTTGACTGGGTGGTTCTGTGCCCTTTGGGTCTGCAGATATTTAAAGAAGGAATCCCTGCTGTCCCTGGAGACCCTGGAGAATGCAGCACAATTCTGGGTGGTCCCCTGAAACTGCCTCCTCAGCCCACATGAAATGCTCCTTGCTTCTTTGTGCTGAATATCTATGCATTTTCAAAATGGTCCTATTGGACAGGACCCCAAACCACCCAATATTTCTCTCCTGCAAGAGAAGATAAATTCATGCACAGAAGATAAATTCATGCACTGCTCGCAAGGGCAAATTCTGGGAATGCAGGCCAATGCCGAAGCAGCAGCACTTCCTTGCTCCACCACTGAAACAGTAGGTCTTTTGCTTGCCCTATACATTTCCAGGGCAGGACTCAGACTCCAGGTTCATCATTCCTCTGCTGAAGGAATAAATACCTCATGCTTCCCAAATAGTCCCAATGGAATCCTCAACTGGACTTGAGGTAAGAAGGCTGAAACCTGCTTTCCCTCCGGAAAAGAAGAGGGGTGGGGTTCAGACAGACCAACTACACACTGAAGAAACAAGCTCTCTGTGAAGCAATCTTACACCACTCTCTTCCTATCCCATCCTCTTTACTTATGACGAACTTCTAGTGTGTAAAGACTATTGCCAGCTCTTATACTGTATTTCCCTAGTTCATTCTTTCCCTCTTTCACTCTCCTAGAAATGATATTCACATTTTCCTCTCCTCAAAACCCTCTCCTCATTCTCACTCTCAACAGATTTTTGTTTTCTGCTTCAATTAAAAAAAAAAAAATCAGAGTAACCAGAGAACTTCTGGGGCCCTATTCTGATCTTCTGAACCAGAAACTTCTGGGAGAGAACTGAGAAAGCTGCATTAAAAAACACCTTGCAGGTGATTCTAATGCACTCTACAGAGTGAGAGTTACTGTCTTCCACAGTTAACCCCTTCTACTCTCATTTACTTCCATTACTCCTATCTATCCTTTAATGTGTACTAGCCACACAGGTCTCCTATTCCTTATGGCAGCATATTGTTGTTTCTTAAGGAAATAACACTGTTCTCTAGTCCAGGCTCTCCAGACTAGTCAGAAGCCCAGGCATGAGCTTGAACAAGTTTGTCCTGAAACTGATGATGGAGCAGGACAGAATAAGATCAGGTTTGGACAAGTCCTGCTTTTGGAATCAAGGTTACTGATGGGGACCACTAGTGGGTACTGGGTTGAGGTACAGAGAGCCTGGAATGTGAATCAGATCCACATTCCAGATGTTTACTCAGGTGGTTAGAACCAGAACAGGCAAAAAGAGAATCCAAATTAAAATGGAGGGAAGCAGAAGAGGGAGGAAAGTAGAACCCAGGAAGTTCCTGCCTCACGTGGTGCTGCAGCAACAGTCTTCCCATGAACCTGACAGGCTGGAGAGGACTGTCAGGGCATTTTATTAGTTAGCTAGCAACCAGCTTTACTCACTAGCCTCCTATCACCCCTAACATGGAAGTCTTTCTAGTAAGTATGTAAACCTCTGCTCTTTTGAAACACGTACCATCCTGTTCTCCCTTCCTTTGTCTACAGATCTCTAGATACTCCTCTTCTCTCAAGAAGTTGGTACCCATTTCACTGCCAACTTCTTCCATCATCCTGGAGAACAAAATATATGCAGACAACCCCTTCCTTCACAATACCTGAACCCTTAGTTCATTTACCAGTCTCCAGGCAACCTCTCTTGCATGTTTCTCAGGCACTCACCCTTGTTACACTATACCACTACTTGGAGTTGCTCTGCTTCCAAAATTAATAATGCCAGCAGTCCAATTTCTGATGACAACCTCCCATTCTCCCAGGCCTTTTGTTCAATTACTCCTATATGACAAAGTAATCCTAACTTCACTGTCCTATTACTCAACAAAACTTCATGATCCAGCAAAACTTATCATTTACATGCTGATAGCCTAAAACCCCTTCACTTTCCATCCTTTAATTTCATCTGCATGACATGAACTCTGGATGATCCCTCAAAACTCACCTCTTTCAGTTATATGAGATTCCTGAGTAAGTAGGGATAACCACATCATTGAGTTGATTAGCATAACTAAATTCATGAATAAATATCCCTATAAATTCAAACAGACCCTCAACATTACTCACCCCACTGCTATCTGACTTCTCTCTCATTTTAATACATCTCTCACTAGCATCTAATAGTTGACAATGTGACTAACCCTCAGATATTTAAAAAAAAAGTCACTCTTCTGGTTTTACTCCTCTATTTATAGCCCGACCCTTTCATCTTCTGTTACCTTTACTGATTCATGTTCCTTTGCCTCTCCATTAAATGCTGCCCAGAGTACTATTAAGAACCATTCTCTCATCTCATTATCTTACCCTGCATATCTTATCTATTCCCATGGCTTTAATTACCACCTCTAGGTTAAATCCCCAAATCCCTAGCACACATGTCATGTATGTCCCATATTTTAAAAAAAATTAATTCCTCCCTCCCTCTTCCCTTCTTTCCTTTCTCTTCTCCCTCCCTCCTCCTTCCTTCCCTCCCACCCCTCCCTTTTTGAGATGGGAATCTCACAATATTGTCCAAACAGGTCTTGAATTCTGGGGCTCAAATGATTTCCTACCTCAGCCTGTCGGGAGCTGGGACTATAGATGTGTGCCATTGCCCCCAGCTTGTCCAAACGATCATCTAACAAGCACCTAAAAATCCAACATTCTGAGTAGCATTACCAACCCATCCAGTATTTCAAGCCAGAAACCTGGGACTGATTCCTTTCTCTTAACTACTCTCAATATCCCACCTGATGAAATTCTCCTGACTGCTTGCTTCCATTACTAGTCCACAGCACCTTCATCTTATGCCCCCAAACCTAGGTTTCTGCAACACTCTTACTCTTATCAATTCCACTCAAGTGGACCTTGTTATTCCTTAGCCCTCCCAAGGTAAACAAGTGCACTGATGATAAGCTTAGGTAATAGAGATAAAATAAGGCTCAAGAATTCTGCAGTCTATTGCACAACATAGTATTTACAAGTGAAAAGAGCACTTTTACATAGTACTTTGAGAACACAGAATATGAAGAACTAATTCTGCTTTGGCAATGAGGGAATACAAAACAACTCAGCTGTTTGGGAAGATAAACTTTGCTAGTCAGACAATTATTCAATAGCAAGAAACAGCACATGCAAAGGCAATGCATAGCTGAATGGCTCACGGCCCAGTCTCCCAACATGCTCTCTGACCTACAGCCTATTTCAAAACCTCCTTTTTGGAAACATCCAACTGGCTGAGGGCTCCCGAACCTATGTCTTTTAGTGTGTTTTCTCAGGTCTTGTTCTTGTGAATAGGTAGAAGAGGCTGTATCTTTACAACTGCGTCCATGGCAGATACTTTCTAAACAAGACCTAGTATGTGCCATCCTAGCTCATCTTCCTTGCCTATAGCTTTCCCAAGACATGCTGATCTAGGCCTACTGCAAGGCAGAAACAACAGACAGACCCTTATGCCAATGAGCGGCCAATCTCCCACCCCAACATGGCAGCAACCAGTTGTAGTTTATGAACAGCAACCCAGCTCACTCACTACCTCCCTTCAAGGATAGCTCTGTCTCATGAAATAAGCCTGTTGAAAGGCCTATTCAGAACTCTCCTAGAGTTTCTCTCAATCTACTTTTCCCTTCAAACTTCAACCTGATCCAGGGACAGTCTTCAAAGGACAATAAAGTTTAGAACACATACCAGCCACAACTTTTTATTCATCACTTCTTATGTTGCCAACCCTGGCTATATTTTTCTTCAATTAACCCACAGAACAATGCTATAAGATTAGAATTTTACCATTTTCCAACTGTGGAATGGGATATTCAAAAATTAAATGACTCCTATGTCTAAGTGGCAGGCCAGGATTGGAACTGCCAGAAAGCAAGAGCTGCCTGACTATAGTCTGAAAAGCTTAAACAAACTGAAGCTGAAGGAACAGAATCTATAAATGAGCACAGGCTGGTCAGTATAGGTCAGAAGAGAGCACAGTGGAGGGGCCAGGACAAAAAGTACATTTGCCTTCTGAGATGGAAAGTAGAGCTAAACCCAGAGATCCTTTAATTCCAAATCATCCAGATTTCATGACACCTAAGGTGATCCATGATGCCCAGATATGCCTGTCTTCTCACAATGTACTCCTTATTCTTTAACTTGCCCAAGTGACTTTGTGCTTCTTGTAACCAAGAAGACTTCATTAGAGCAGAGCTGAGCCAGAGATTTTATCACACTTTGTTCTTAGGACAGAGCGACGGTAGTACCAAGTCCTGGCTAACAGCCTGGCTGGATACAGTCTTCAGAGTTCTGAGCCTGGAGTCTGAGCACTGCCTCTCCTTTCAGAGGGTCTCCAGAGGTCACCTGCGCTTGTAGAGACATGGATGAAGTTTCAGGCCTGAGAGCTGAGCCTTGGGCCCTATCTGTGGAGGCCCAGTCTTTTCAAAATCAAACAAGAAGAAGTGACTGTTGGTCAAGTCCTAAAGACAAAAAAGACTCAATGAGCTCCAAATCTTCACCCCAGTTCCTCAAAACACCTTCCTGCGTATCCCTTTCATGCTCAGAAAGCTTCCCAGAAATCCCTCCAGAGTTGTGCCTTTGGGGAACAAAATGAGCCTATTCCTGTGCCTATAGCCCCCCTTCCTGAAACCATTATCTTTCTTTTTTTTGTGGTGCTGGGGTTTGAACTCAGGACCTCAAGCTTGCAAAGCAGGTACTCTACCACTTAAGCCACTCTACCAGCCCTTTTTTGTGTTGGGTATTTTTGAGACAGGGTTTCAAGAACTATTTGCCCAGGCTGGCTTTGAACCACAATCTTCCTTACTAATTATAGGTCAGCCACCAGCCTGGCTCTGAATACCATTATTATGAAAGAGATACACATGAGACAAAAATAGGGACAGATTTTTGGGGGCATTCACCTTGGAGATGACCTTGAAGCCCAGCTTGGTCACAGCCCTCAGAAAGGTCCGAACATCCCCAAAACGGCTACTGACCTCAGCCAACTTCAGGAGACCCCTAAGAAAAGTATGAAGTTCTGTATAAGTACACAGATGCATATACACACATATACGTGCCTCTGTATCCTGAAGGCTCTTACCCTGGCTTGAGTACTCGATTTGCCTCCTGTAGGAAGTCCCTGATATTGGTCCCCATCAGAGAAAGGCAAAACACAGCCACATCCACAGACTTATCTTCCAGAGGCACCTGTGGAGAGTGTTGAATGGAGCACACAGATTGGAAGGAGAAATTCAGCACTGAATACTAGAACTAGATACCAGAATAAGGAAGAGAGAAGGAGGGAGGAAGGGTTTAGGGAGAGCACAGGCTAGCTACATAAAGGAGTTTACCTGGGCCATGTCACATACAGTGACCCTGGGATCCAGAGAGGCCAAGTCAAAGCAGTGTACAGGATTCCGAATACTTGAAGCTAGGCGGCAATCCCCACAGCCAAAGTCAGCCACCACCAAAGATGCGGGCCTGGGAGTGGAATGGAAAGGGTCACACACTGGTCTGGTCTGACCTACTGAATGACCCACATCGCTTCTTACAGTGTCCCGCCCCACCCCCACCCCATCACCTCCGGCGAAGATCCCTGGCAATTTGGTCTACTGGCTGCAGTGGCCACTTCTTCATTTGCTTCTGGAAGCCCTGATGATAGAGGAGAAAAGCTTCAGGGTCTTCCTGAAAGAGGCGTTGTGCAGCGCTGCTGGTCCCTGAGTACAGCTGTTCATTGAGGTAGCGAAATCGGGCTCCATCTAGCCGCTGTGTCATGCGGGCTCGCAGGGCCCCAGCACGAGCCTCATGGCTGTCTGACCTCAGGGCAGGAGGCATCTCTGTCTCCTCTGTTTTGGTCTCTACAGGAACCTGGTCTGAGGTATGAGGTGGCCGAAATTTGTTCTTGTGTCTCCGCTTGTTCTTCTGCCGGTTCCGCCATTGCTTGCGACTTAAGGTATGGGGAGTTGTAGGGGAAGTGGACCCTGGGCTTGGCTTGGGTGGATCATTTGTACCACTGTTCTTCCAGGCTTCATGACCTATAGGGAAGAAGGTAGAATAGTGCTATTTGAGGCAAGATCCCCTAAATTCAGAGGCTTGGCAAGTCGACCTGGCCATACCCTTGTCCTTGAGACAGACTGTGGCCTCTAGCGCCAATCCTAATAGTGGCAGGTAATCTCTGTTGTATGTACAATCAGCTCATACTCCCCCCCGCCGCCCTCCCCCGCCACATACACAATCCACATATAGGCATTTGGTGGTACCTGCTTGGTCAGCATGGTCCAAGTGCTGGGTTGGGTTTGGAGGAGCCTTTTTCTGGCATTTCCTCTTTCTTTTCTCATCTTCAGCATAGTCACTGCCAAGAAGAGCTTGTTTGCAGTATTTCTTTCTTTCCCCTTCCTTGTCCTCGGAGTCACTGTGAGATGGACCCTGTTTTTGACTTTTCTTCTTCCATTTCTCCCTGACTTCAGCAGAGGCACTGGAAAATGTGACTTTTGAGGGGCGTTTCTTCTTTTTTTCTACTTCCTCCTCCTCTTCAGAGTCACTGCCAGGTAGGCTGGGGAGTTGTTGGGAAAGACATGCTGCTTCTAGGGCCCGTAATGTGGCCAAGAGCTGGCGGCGCTTGCGGCCCTGGAGGAAACAAGGGATGAGAGGAGGGGCAAGGAGAATAGATGAGGCCTGGAGAATAAGGAAGATGGGGACCTGGTTCAGATACTCGCAGCTTCTTCCCAGTCAATTTAATTAGCTTGCTGTAAGCTTGCCAGACCAGAAAGAACTTTCATGTTGCCATCCCAACCTTTGGAAGACTGAAGCAGAAAAATCACCCACCCTATTTTATTCAGTGTATAAATGACTGAAAATTAAAGTTCCCCAGAGGAATGTGGTAAGACCACAAGCAAAAGGACCAAGATGAGATCAGGAATTCTGGATTTTAATTTCAGTCTTTTCTCTGCAGCTGATACCTTTCTATAAGAGGTAGAGAGGATTCCTGAGCAGAGGAGGGAAAGAATTTCTGAACCTGAAGGGAAAAGCTGCACACAGCCCACTGGCCTAGATCAGCATGGTGGGCTCTGGGGATAAAAAGAAGAAAATAAAGTGGGTTAAATCCATTCTGGAGGCTGAGTGAAGGGTAGGAAAAGCCTGATGATGTGTAGGAGTTCTCACATCTTCTGGGGCTCAAAGGAAAAGGTCTATTGTTTGGGAGACTAATTCTGCGTTGAAGTTCTAGGCCAGCAATTTACCTTGGAGGTTCACTGTTAATCTGTCTAGTCTATGCTCCACATTGAAATCAATAACCTTTTCCTCCTGGGTGTATAGCAAGGTGGGAGAATGCTTGACTAACATGCCTGAAGCCACAGATTCGATCTCCAGCATACAGGGAAGTAGAGAAGGAAACAGGAAGAGAGACTTCTGTCCTCGGTATAAGAAAAACTTTTAATTTACCTCTTCACCATCAACAGCAACCTCTTTCATTTTACTCTGTGCTCAAGTCCACCATCACTTTTCAGTATGAGACTCCAATGGGATGTGTTTTCTCTTGCACAGGGGCCACTGCACATTTTCCTGTCTCAGGAACTCTCTTCGCATCAACTTGTACTCACCAACTATTTCAACTTCAACGTCATTTTCTTTCGGAAGCTCCCGGATCTTCAGATCAGGACTCGCCCCCGCATAATGTCGCAGGTGGCTCTCACCCCAGTATACACATAAGGCCTGCCCCAGAGCCGGGACGCACCAGGGTCTGATTCGCGACCTCATTTATACAGTAAACAACGCCAGTACAGGGCCACTCACCTTGACTTGCGGGGCTGCTGTCGGCCGAGGCCGTGAGGTCAAGAGCTCGACGCCCACGGCTACTGGGGCCGCCTCGGCCCACTCAGGCTCCTCGAACATGCGGGTCGCGAGGGAGGGTCTCGGAGTACACGCTCCTCTCCACGTGCAGCGCGCGTCTCGCTGGAGTTCTCAGACTTGCAAGGACTGAGCCGGGAACCAAAGAGTAGAAACCAGCAGAGGCTAGAGCGGCGTGCGCGGCGCAGAAAACCATCGAGTGTAGCCACTACTGGGCTAGAAGGGCAAAGGAGGAATTAGGTAGTGACAGAAGACGGCCCGCACTGGCCGAAGAGGGCCAGGGGCGGGGCGGGGCCCGGAGGCGGGCGCGGCCGGACGGGAGTTCCCCGGAGAAGGCGCCTCCAGCCCAAGACGCGGTGAGTGCGGGGAAGCCTGCGCCCCCTACCCAAGACTGCGGCCCTGCCAACCCGTCTCTTCTCGCTCCTTTTGAGTTCCGAGTAAGGAACCGGGGCCGCCCTGGAGAAAGACCCCTTTACGCTCCCCCCCCACCGGGTGTGCGGAGCCTGAAACCCTCCCCCACCCCCACCCCCAGTCGCGGGGAGGGTCTCCCTGCCTGCTCTCCAGCATCGGTTCCGGAGATACCTCTACATCCCCCTACCCTGCCTGGGCCGGCCTGTCCCTCGCGCCAGGGGATCATCCCGCTACCCCGATCTCCCTCAGAGCACCACTTTCCCGGGACGCAACTCCCCGCTCCCCACCCCCGACACAATCACTTCTTGTAGGGGACAAAGCTAGGGCCCATCCCCTTTCCTGGATCCCTCCACAGCCTTCCAGGCTTCCCCAGTCCCGGGGTCTCTCAGCGCCGGGACGCTGCTATGGACGACATTTTCACTCAATGCCGGGAGGGCAATGCGGTTGCCGTGCGCCTGTGGCTGGACAACACCGAGAACGACCTCAACCAGGGGTGAGCTGAGGCGGTTGGTGGATGAGAGGAAGGCTAGAGGTCTGCTCCTCCTCGCTACCTGGGGTCCTCACGTCGGGTGGGGCAGCTGACTTTGCCATCCTACGTGATGAGTGCTAAGCAGACTGGGGACGAGGATCTTAACGGAAGCAGTGTTTGAGCTCAGTCTTGACTACTGAATAGTTTCACAAGAGGCTGCACAGAGTTTCCCAGCCGCAGTTAACTGCATAGGCAAAGGCTGGGAGGCAAGACAGCAGAGTGCCAGGAAATTGGAGTTCCATGTGGCTGGAGCATTGGACACAAATGGAAAAGGACAGGAAGAGAGGGCTGCAAGCAAGGTTTTAAAGGTGTGTAGCGATATGAGATTGTCTATTTGTAAAGTATCATTTGGGTGCTTTATGAAGAGCAAGTAGGAAGGAGGCAATTGCCTAGTTCTTTCTAGTAGTGTTTTGGACTAGAATTGGGACTGGCAGAAAAATAAGAAGTAGTGAGATTCCAGAAATTTAAGAATGAAGAATTAATTGACTTGGAGTGGGAAGTAGGAAGGTCAATGATGACAGGGTTCTGGCTTGGGCACTTGGATAGATGGTAGTTGCTTTTACTAAGATGGGGAAAATTGAAGGATAAAGCATTCTGTTCTGGACATGTTAGAGTTATGGTGACAGTATAGCAACTTGGAAATGTATTGAAGGTTGTTGGTTATGGAGATTTGGAGTTCAGGAGAGATCTGATGGGGAGACATCAGTATAGATGATACCTGGAGACTTGCATGTGAAGGATTGCACCTCAGAAGGATGAAAGAGGAGGGCAGGGGATGAGAAGCTTGGCACACTGAAAAGGAGCAACAAGTTGGAGAAATAAGAAAATGTGTGAATAAAACAAGAGAAAAGAATGAATGTTTTGATGAAGGGAGAGTAGTCAACAGTAGTAGAGGCTACTCAGAGGTCAAAGTGCATTTTAAAGTAGCCACTGAATTTACAATCAGTATATATCCAGTGATCTCTGTGGGTGTTGTTTTAAAAGAATAACATGGAGAAACCAGGTAACATTAGGTTCCTTCAATTAAGGATCCATACTGAGTGTCTCCTGTCCTGGGTGGTGAGTCATACATAATAGAGACATAATCTGTGCCCTCAAGGTGGCAGACTTGTGACAGGTTGAAAAGTGAATAGAAGGTGAGAAAATAGAGAAAGTAAATGTAGACAAGTTTTTAATGTTTGCTGATAGGAAAGCAAGAAAACCAGTAGTGTTGGTGATTCAGAGTACTGCGTTTAATTAACTTAATTTAAAAAATATTTATTGTTTTTTAAGACAGGATCTCATTAAGGCCAGCCCAGGGTGGACTTGAAGTTGGATGCTCCTGACTTGGTCTTCCTAGTACTGGGATTATAGGTGTACGCTACCACATTCAGCTTTAACTATTTTTTTTAAAGGTTGAAGGATAAGGATCACCTGTGATCATAGTCCAGACTTCACTGGTTCCCATTAGGCTGTATGGTATTTCTCTATATAAACTATTTTGTTGGTGAGAAAACAGAGGCTTAGGCAAAGTTGTCCATTGGGACTGGTATCTTGGAAGACTACTCACAGCCAAAAGGTGAAGGGGTGGCATTAAGTAAAACTTAAAAGGCTTTGGTTGGTTGAATGGACAGTGTGGGAGCTCAAGCTGGCCGTGTGCTGGATATGAGGTGGTTAACTCCCTGCAGGCCCCCTTTAAGTTTAGGCCCTGAGGTTACCAATGGACAACACCCTTATGTCCACACTTTTGCTCTCAGTCTTATGCCTGGTCTGGGACCACCAACTGCTAGAGCTGATAAGTCAGGACAAAAAGGTCTGGGAGGCAAGACTGATAGTAGGGGGTGTTATTGTTTCCGGTGGATACCCACATCCGGGGAAAACCTTTTGCCTATTTATGTGAGCAGATGAGGGCAGGCTGCAGAAAGGAAATTAAGTTAAAAGGCCACACACACCCCCTTCGACTCTGGGACATCTGGGTAGCCAGATCCATGGTTACCTCCAGGCCCCGCCTAAAGCCCCCACAAGGGAAGTGACCACAGCACTATGGCATCCGGAGGCTGCTGGCCCAGACCACAGACCGCCCCCTGCTCCACCCCTTGGATCTGCATCCCAGAACTGGAGGGAATTTCCTTTTATGGCTCCAGGCTGTCAGGCTGACCCAGCTCCTACCCAAGTGTTTTGTTTGTACACGTTTTTTACTTTATAAAATACATATCCTTAGGAAAAGAAAAAAAATAATCAGGTAATAGTTTTTATTCTAAAACAGCCATTCTCATTTTCTTTTTTCTGCATATGGGATTGTTTTGTGTGGTTATCTGCCTCATCAGTAATCAAAGGCATTTCTCCTTTTCATTATAAAACCCTCTCAAGCATCATTTTAATTCCATTCCATTTTTAGATGTCAGTTGCAGTACCACAGCCAAACATTAAGTTTGTTCTGTCTCCAATGAGTGGTGACCCGTCTTCTCCAAAATACTTACCTCTCCCATTAACATGCACTGAACCCCTGCTATCAGCCTATTCCCTCAAGAAATGTAGTCTAACAGCAAGACAGCCCACCATTAATATTTTTATAAAACAGTGCAACAAGTGCCAGAGTAGGGAGATACTTAAGAAGCAGTGCAAAACACAGGACAGTAAGTATTGCAAAAGGGATGCAGGGGAAACCAGAGGAAGAGTGGTACCACCACCTGCCAGGGAAAAACAGGTGTGGAGGATGGTGGTAAAGGTAATGAGTTTTTTTATAGACTTTTTGGGACATCTAGGTGGTAGATTGGGTGTGAAACTCAAGGGAATGTCTAAATTGGACAGCTTTGGGGAGCTGCTGGAATGAATGAAAATGCCTTCTCAGAGAGTACATGGAATTGATTTTTCATGCAGCAAAGACTTTGCCCCTTCTACCTCTAGCTCAGTGACTATTGCCCCTTTCTCAAAGGGATGATCATGGCTTTTCCCCTTTGCACTGGGCCTGCCGAGAGGGGCGCTCTGCGGTGGTTGAGATGCTGATCATGCGGGGAGCACGGATCAATGTGATGAATCGTGGGGATGACACTCCCTTGCACCTGGCAGCCAGTCATGGACACCGTGATATTGTACAGAAGGTATGCATGAATCCTTTTGTCACCCACATCACATATATGCCACGAGGTCAGTCATAAGCAATTAATGTGTTCTCTTCTCCTTTTCCCCATGCCCTGACGCTGGTATCTCATTTTGGACCGTGTGCTCTGCCTCTTTTGTCTGGTTATGGGGCCCAGCTGTTGCAGTACAAGGCTGACATCAATGCAGTGAATGAGCATGGGAATGTGCCCCTACACTATGCCTGTTTTTGGGGCCAAGACCAGGTAGCAGAGGTGCGTACTCAAGCTTTTAAGTCCTAGGATGAATGGGACAGAAAGTGAGCCTGGAACCTTCAACCCATCCTGTCCGTATATGTGACACTCACAGGGCTGTGTACTGCACCCGTGTGATCATAGTTGGTTATGACTGGCAGGAAGGTGGCAGGGGCCCTTATCACAACCACCTTTTCATTCCAGGACCTGGTGGCTAATGGGGCTCTTGTCAGCATCTGTAACAAGTATGGAGAGATGCCTATGGACAAAGCCAAGGCACCCCTGAGAGAGCTTCTCCGAGGTCCATCCCTACCCCTACCTTGTGCCCTCTTTTCTTGTCCCTCCTTGTTTGTGTTCTCCCTCCATACCACAATTCAGGCTAAAGCAGTTTTTTTCTTCCCTAGAAAGGGCAGAGAAGATGGGACAAAATCTCAACCGTATTCCATACAAGGACACATTCTGGAAAGGGACCACCCGCACTCGGCCCCGTGAGTCACTGTTGTTGGGGGAGGGTTGTAATGAAGAAGAGTCCTGGGCTCCTGGGGCTGGGTTAGGGCAAAGTTTGGTACCTGACCTATCCACACTCTCAGGAAATGGGACCCTGAACAAACACTCCGGCATTGACTTCAAACAGCTCAACTTTGTGGCAAAACTCAACGAGAATCACTCTGGAGAGGTGACTCCTGTCCTTCTTGCCCCTCCCTTCCTAAATCCTACAGATTACCTGCTCTGCACCTGTTAAGGTTTTACTCCCCCCAACCCCCAGCTAGTGGGCAAGGAAGTGGCCTTTTAGTTAATGCCTCCTAACTCCTACTTGTCCTTCAGCTATGGAAGGGCCGCTGGCAGGGCAATGACATTGTTGTGAAGGTGCTGAAGGTTCGAGACTGGAGTACAAGAAAGAGCAGGGACTTCAATGAAGAGTGTCCCCGGCTCAGGTGGGGCAAGGCCTAAACTGGAAGCTTCTGGTTCCAAGGAACCTTAAATAGCACTGAAAGGGGGTGATCTTTTATGCTAGTCTCAACCAGGGACACTCTTTTCCTCTCCCAGGATTTTCTCGCATCCAAATGTACTCCCAGTGCTAGGTGCCTGCCAGTCTCCACCTGCTCCTCACCCTACCCTCATCACACACTGGATGCCATATGGATCTCTCTACAATGTACTACATGAAGGCACCAGTGAGTAGGAGTGGTTATCTCATTGGGAAACAGCTGGGAAAGGAGGTGGAAGTATCTCTAAATTATTGACTCTTGCATCTTCTTAGATTTTGTTGTGGATCAGAGCCAAGCTGTGAAGTTTGCTTTGGACATGGCAAGAGGCATGGCTTTCCTGCACACACTAGAGCCCCTCATCCCTCGACATGCACTTAACAGCCGTAGTGTAATGGTAAGGCAACAGGTTCATTTCTGAACTAGGTTTCAAAAGCCTTTTGCCTATCTAGAATAGGACTCACCTCCTTTCATGTGTCTTCTCTCCCTCAGATCGATGAGGACATGACTGCCCGAATCAGCATGGCCGATGTCAAGTTTTCTTTCCAATGCCCTGGGCGCATGTATGCACCTGCCTGGGTGGCCCCTGAAGGTGGGTGAGGGTATCATGTTGGAAGGCACAGAAGTTCCAGCTCAGCAATTGTGGAAGGGGCAGAGACAGGACAGATTAGGCAGCCAGAACAAACCCTATCCTTCCAGCTCTGCAGAAGAAGCCTGAAGACACAAACAGACGCTCAGCAGACATGTGGAGTTTTGCAGTGCTTCTGTGGGAACTGGTAACACGAGAGGTACCCTTTGCTGACCTTTCTAACATGGAGATTGGAATGAAGGTGAGTGTAGAACTGTACATGCTTGTATTGGGAAAGTGGGGGAAATGATAATCATTGTAGTGGGCCTAGGTTCTCCCCACATTTGTTCACATATACAGTAATCTTGACCAAGGGTCAGAAGCTTCTGCCCACATGATAAGACTCAAATTTTGAGGTGTACCTTTTTTTAACCTTGTATTTGCAGGTGGCATTGGAAGGCCTTCGGCCTACCATCCCACCAGGTATTTCTCCCCATGTGTGTAAACTTATGAAGATTTGCATGAATGAAGACCCGGCTAAACGACCCAAGTTTGACATGATTGTGCCTATCCTGGAGAAGATGCAGGACAAGTAGAACTGGAAAGTCCTTGCCTAAACTCCAGAGTTTTCAAGACGTGGTTGGGGGAGTGCACTTCCCCAAAGCAGCAGGCCTCTAGTTGCCTCCCCTGCCTCCAGTCATGGTACTACCCCAGCTATGGGGCCCATCCCTTGCCCCCATCCCTACCATTGTGGCCCCAAAAGGGGCTGGGCTCAGAGCTTTGTCACTTGCCACACGGTGTCTCCCAGCATGGGAGGGATCAGCCCCGCCTGTCACAATAAAGTTTATTATGAAAACAGGCTGGTGTGGGGATGTGGGGACAGACAAGTACATCTGGGTAAGGCGGCTCAGGTGAAGTAGTGCGGCTTCTTCACATTGATGCCATACTCGCTGAGGGCAGGGGTCAAGTCCTCCATGGTTAGAGTGTACTTGCGGTCCTGAGGGAAGAGGGAAGAGCACCATCTGAGCAAAGGAATCCCAGATGGGTGACCCTGAGTAGGCCTTACACCTCCCCTAGGATGCAGTTTCCCCAAAGGGGTTTCAAGGTTAAGTTACACCTCTACTGCTGTGGACAGTAGTTACTGTTTCAGTGATCCTCCCTTCACACCTTGCTTTTGCTTCGTGAGCTGCCAGAGGCTGTGCCCTTCATTTTGCAGTGCTGTAGGGCATCGTTGGCAATATCTGAGATGAATTTTTGGGCAGCTAGGGAGATGAGCCGAATTCTAGAGAGACAAAAACAGGTATGAGGAGATAGATAACAAACTCTTCACAAGTACCCAAAGCTCTAGCCTACCCTAGATTTACTCACATTCGTGGGTCTGAGGCTTCAAAGCCAGCACGGTTCAGGTAGTAACCAGTAACTGCATCTGGGATCTGGGAAATCAATTAGACAACTGTCAGTGTTAACCCTGCGCCCTGTTGGGCTGAGAGTGAGAAGAGGGTAAGGGAAGTGAAGGATAGGTCTGCTTATCAAGAAGCTAGTACTTTGGGTGGGTAGAAGGAAAAACACAAGAGCTAGCGGGGAGCAAATGTAAGGACATTGGAAAGCAGAAGTGGCTAAAAGTTGGCGTGACAGAGGCCAGATGGCCTTGTTCAGGCGGGAAGCCCACCGTAGGCGTGTAATCCTCCAGCTGCATCAAGAAGTCCACTAGAGGCGTGCTGGACACCACGGGCTTCACCTCTCCGTTGGCCGCGCTCGGCAGGACGTAAACCCCGTTAGACATCGCCCCCTCGGGAGGCGCCGCGCCACCCGCCGACACCGGAGCTGGAGAAGAATCAACAAACTGAGACCAGAGGGAGGCGCAGGGCTCCAACCTAGGTCTGCTGTACCCTTCTGCCCTCACCAGCCTCTGGGCCGAGTCCAAGGCGCTTCCCTCACCCTCACCCGTCCCAGCCCTCACCTGCCCCGCGCCGCTCTGCCGGCTCCCCGGCCCGTGCCGCCACGAGTCCCGTGCCCGCAGTCGCGGCTCCAGTCCCAGGTCCTCCTGCTGTCCCCGCGGGGCTGGCCTTGTTCTCCGCAGCGGTGCTAACGGGCAGCACGGTGGGAGCCGAGACCGGGGGTGCCGGGCCCGGGGCCGAGGCGGCGGAGGCGGGCGCCGCCTCGGGGTCCGCGCCGGAGCCGCTGCAGCTCATCGGGCCGGTGGGAGAGGCGGCGAACAGAGCCGCTTCCGCTTCCGGTCACGTTACGCACACCCTGGATGACGTCACACTCCGCGACTCGCTTCGCCTGTGTGTGCTAAATTCTCTCCCTTCTGCGTTGTGCTTCTTATTGCCTGTGGGCCAATTACGTGAAGTGGACTAAAAGGCGGAGTCCACCGCCATTCCACTCTCCACCCGGTTGTGTTATAGGAAGGTGGTTCCGCCAGGAGGGTAGCCAATGTGTGTCCAGGACTCTTCTGTCTAGCATAGTGCAAACGAATGCTTAGACCCTGCTTTGGAGCTCCTCGGTCCGTCACTCCCCGACTACGGGTTGCATGACAACCAGCATTTTTTTTGCAGTTCCCTGATCAGCCTTTTAAGAGTAAGGGTTATAGTGGAATTGGAACCCGCCCCCCCGCCCACGCCACACACACACAAGGGTTGTAGTGGAATTGGAGCTTCCCCGTCCCCCGCCCCCCACACGCCACAAGAGAGAGGAGGGCACCAGGCGGTGTTGCTGTAGATGGAAAAGCGAGTATTTCGGACTCAAGAGACAACACAGAAAATCACAGCGAGTGAAAGCTGGAGTTTTTCAATTCAACAGATTTATTTAATTACTATTTGACATCTCCTGGGCAATGTCCTAGGGATACAAATTAGGACAAGATTCTAGTCCTCTAGGCACCAACGGTCTTGGAAAGGGAGGCAAATAAACTAGAGTTTCAATGTCATATGGTTACACTGCTAGAGGTAGGCACAGGGTGTACTGTACAAAGGAGGAAGGGAGGGAGCTAACATCTGCTTCCAGGTGCCAGACACTATCAACATTATTTCTCTTAATTTTATTCTCCAATTGTGAAAGGAAGGTATTGATATCTCCACTTAACTAATGAGGAAACAATCTCAGACAAAACTTGGCTCTCTACTGTTCTATATCAGAACCAAGATTAAACCAGATTTGGTTTTGAAAATTAGGATTTATTTGCAGTACCAAAATCAACTGGCCTCAGGAAAACAAGCTGACTTCGGAGCTGAAAGAATTCTGAAAATCAGCCAGTTGATTGTATGAATATCTTAAGCAAGGATGAGAATTCCTTAGGGGTTAGGGAGGGAAGAAGAACAAATAAGGTTTGTGAACTATGATAAAAAGCCTGTACTTAATCCAGTAATCTCTGAAGGGTTTCTATCAAATAAATTGCTTAATCAGATTTGCTTTGGAAGGTGATTTAGAGATGAGTAGGAAGTTAGGACAGTTTTGTGTGTCTCCCACCATTACTGCCCACCAAAGGCTTCCTGTAATTTAGAGGAGAGAGAATATGGCTCAAAGCTCATTAATAGCAGTGGGGATGGAGAGAAGTGGATAAGTTCTAGCTATTATTAGGAAATATATTAGGAGGACTTTTGGACTGATAAAGGTGTATTTAGGAGGTAAAGTCAGTATGACATGTTGATTGAAGGTAGGAGGGTGAAGAAAATCAGTCAGGGTGACACAGACTTCTGGCTTGGTTGGAAGAAGCATAGTATCATTTACCAAGAAGAAACAAGAAATGGAATAGGTTGGGGTTGGGATGGAAGAAGAGGAAGATTGAGTTTAACACATCTTATATTTGAGGTTTCAATCACTATTGGATAGAATATCTAACTAGAAAACCATGGGTGTAGATGCCACTGATTTGTTTCTAGAGGACAATGAGTGAAATGATAGGAGCAAAAGACTAAGGATGGAGCAATAACACCATCATTCCATAAGGAATAGGAATGCGTGGGTACTGAGGGAAAATCCATAGAGCAAAGATTAAGAGTGCTTTGGATAAAGCTGCATGGAGACCATTGTTTCTCAGTGTTGGGGGAGGAAAGAGTAAAAGTCAAAAGCAGAGGTCTCATTGCAGTGAATTAAGGAATGAACTTAAAATGAAATAGTGCACACAGTCAGTGTAGAGATGTTGTGGGCATCAGATCTGGGCCTGCTGATATCACTACTAGCAAGCTATACTTCTTCACCTTGTATTCACATCCCTGGTTGAAAAGAGGAAGAAGAGATGGGGGAGGGGGGTACAAAAAATGCTGTTTATAGCATCTCATTGAGGAACATGAGACAAGGAGTTGGGAGTCCTGAGTACAATGGAACACAGTAGGGGTGGGAGTCAAGTTTAGCTCACAGCGTTTCAGGGTTAGAGAGATAAGCTATCTGCAACAATGAACAGTTGTGGGTTCAGCAGGGCTTCCAACATGGCAGAATAAGGGACTAAGCCACTGGTATAGTGTAGGAGGCTGTTCAGCTTTCCTGGCATGGCAGAATCAAGGGTTGAGTAGTGTCTTAAGCAGAGCTGGGAAGTTTGGTGTTCCCCAGCCTGTCACAGGATCCCAACCAGGTCCAGAGCAGAAACCTTGACCCTCCACCTCTTCATTCAGACAGGACTCATGGCAGCCATGTGTTACCTGGAGAGGAGGTAGACATCAGATCTGAGTCTACGGGTACTGGTACTAACAGACTAACAGACTGTACTTCATGGCATTCATGAGATGTATTCATATCTCAGAGGCTATCCTACTACATCAGAACTGCCCCAAAGTTCATCTTAGCCCTCCCCATACTCCTAAAGCAACACCCACACCCTTCCCTTCCACACTCACATCAAAGAGTCCTGCCCCATGCTGCTGGTAGAGCCTTGGGTTCAGAAAGCCAAGAGTGGGGCGGCCACTGAGGATTCTGTGCTCATTTATCAAGGATAGGATTCCCCCAAACACTGGAGTAGAGGCCTGCAAGGTGAAGATGCAAGTAGAGGCCAGGGTTTCAGAAAGATTGGACTTTTGGAGAGGGATACTTGTAAGAATCAGAGATCTCTGAGGAATGAGAGGTTCGGGGTGTAAGGGCTCGGGGGTAGGAAGTGAAGATAGTTCCTGAGTGGGGTTTGGAGTCAGGCTGATTCTCACCGAGGTTCCAGATACCCACGGAATGGGCATACTGTTGCTGACCACCCAGTAGCCATCAGAAAGTGCAGCAACGTCAGGGTACGCACGACCACTGGTATTGAAATAAGTTGATGGTGGCAGGTGGGGGCTAGACTTCAGGAACTGGACTACGGCTTCCTCCTACAAGACATTTGTAAGTATTAGCCCATGCCTGCTCAGCAGTGTGCTAAACTGAAAACCCTCCAACACCCTATGTATCCATACAAACATGCACATACCTGGTATGAAGGCCGTGGGAACACATTGCTAAAGCCACCACCACTGATATAGTCAACTATCTCATTTGTGATGAAGAAAGGATTCTGGAAGCAAGTACCTCCCACTGTGGTGACATAGGGGCTGAGGGAAAAAACACAGTACAGATAGTGGAGGATCCAAGGAGACCTCCAAGCTGGGTGCTGGTGGATTACCCCTGTAATCCCAACTACTTAGGAGGATTGTGGTTTGAAGCCAACCCAGACAAATAGCTTGTGAGACCCTATCTTGAAAATGCCCAACACAAAACAGGGCTGGTGAAATGGCTCAAGTGGAGGAATGCCAGTACCAAAAAAATCCCAAACCAAGGAGACCTCCAAGATGTGCGGATATGGGTGAGGATGTCCTGGGTCTTCCTGGAAGAGCCAGATGCTGTGAGAAAACATGTACATGGGGTTCACTGAGAGGTTTTGAGCCATGAAGGCATAATTTGAGTTGACTGTGCATACACTTTGGCCCTGAGACCTATAGGAAGAAGGAAGGAATATAGATACCAGGATAGATAAAGCTGAGAGCTGAGCTATAAAAATACCTGGTGGAGTCAAGGCAAAGGCCCTAGAATACAAGGTCACAGATAAAAGATTTGTGGTCATAGTTAAGTGGTAGGTTGAGTTGCTTACCTGGAGGCAGGGAAGGAAGGTCGGAACCGGTGTTTTCCTGAGACAGACCAACACCCAGCCCCACTGTCACCTGGAAGAAAAACACATTTAGCATTCGTATTATGGGTCAGACCTTATATTAGGTTCATATGCTAGAGTGGAAATGTGGATATCAGCTGTTATTGCAGGAGCTCACAGTTTAGCAGTCAAGTCAGTGGTCCCTATTGAGGCTCTTGAGTTCAGATTATGAGTCAAAGACCAAGCTCATAAAGCTCCTAGTTTGGGTGAATGGGTAGGAGGTCTAAATATAGGATAGGTGGTTACCTGAGGCAAAGAGCAGGGTAAGACCCCGAGCGGCAGCCTTCATGAACTCCGTGTTGACCCTCTGGATGTAGGCACTACTGAGAGAGTCCTCATCATCTCCATAACTCACAGTGTGCACATGGGGCAGAGATGACTCATTACTGAGCAGCAGGAGCCACTGCAGGAAGGGCTCCTGTGCTTCATGCCGGCCTGGATTTTTTTTTTTTTTTAAAGAAGTGGACACAAGGGTAGTCACTGGGGGGTTTTTCAGGATCTCCCTCAAACTTATGGCCTTCCCTTGATGAAGTAGGGATCAACAACCACCTCCAACCCACTTCCCACCAGCTAGTTCCCATAGCAGTACCAGGACTACTGTAGACCCATGTGGAGATGTTGGCACCAGCACTCATCAGGTATTGCACATCGAGACTGGCCTCAATCCCAGCCAGACCCTTGCCCTGTTGTCCAACCACGTGGGCTACCGATTTCTGGTGTACAAAGCTTTCACCAAAGAGACGCATGAACTTAATCAGGTCTGAGTCATGGAAGTACTGCTCCAGGAACTATGGAGGGAGTCAAACCAGGGATCATGGGTTAGAGTAAGCCCCAAGTGGTAAGGCACTGAAGCTACCTTGGGGAGACTGTGAGGACCCTGTTACTCTGCTTGGCTCACCTGGGCACAAGCCTGGCTGTTGTTGGTGGTGCCAGAGCCCACATCTCGTGCTGTCAGGTTGTATCGCTGACGGATCACAGATGGCGTCACTCCCAGATGCAGGCCAATAGTTCTTGCCACTTGTGGCTCAGGGCGTTGCCTCACTGATGATGTGGGGGGAAAGCGGTGCAGTCCCCCCACTGTGGAAAGGGGTCAGGCTTAAGAAGGAGGTCTTACAAAGTTCAATACCCACTTTACTGCTGACAGTACCCCATGCCCTGACCCCCATGGCATCTAAACTTCTCCAGCTCATGGAACTCCCTTCCCCAACAACCACCAACCCTACTGGGTTTACCAAAGTCCACATGAGGGGCCAAGGCCTGAGGAAGCTGGTAGGGATGTGGTGACCTTACAACATGGGTTTTGGTAGGTCCCCCCACAAAGTGATGAAACTCAGCTCCAAGGAGCAGCAGCTCTGCCTGTCTGGAGGTCAGAGATCAGAAAACAAAAGTAAGAAAGCATGCAACAGAGCAGAGAAGGCACCCTGAGCACCACTGCAAACAAAGCCAGTCATCTCCTCATGCATTAACTACTACCCGAAAGCTCTCAGAAGTTCTCAACTCCCTCCCCCTGGGGTGACTAGTCTCCCTGAAGGTATGATTGGTGCCCTTTATGGGGCAATCATTCACTCTCACCGGACACTCAGAGAGCAAGTCAGAAAGTCCATTGTGGTCACTGAATGGCAGTTCCAGGCTCCAGCTGCCAAGAGCCATTTTTGGACCGTATGGAGGGTCAGTGGTGATGGCTGGATCAGCTCAGCCACATCCTCTAGGGTTAGGTATTTTCCTGTAGGGATTCAGAAGAGGATCTTCAGAAGAGGATCTTACCTTCACTCACTGATTTCCCAAGTTTCCTCTTTGTCCATTAACCAGGAGACATCAGGACTCCTAGGGAGGACTGTGTAGGTGCTGGGTATATTTGGGGAAGCATGGGAAGAAAAGGCTGGAGAGAAATGGAATGCTATGACCAAGAAATATGAATAAAATATGGATTTATCCTAAAGGCAAGTAGACTGCAAATGTTGCAACACAGCATGCATTGCCATGGTTGTGAAAAACAAATGAGATTAATAAATTTAAATTTTCCATTTTAAGCTTCTCTCCAATAAAAGTTTTCAAAACTTTTGGAGTCAATTTTACATCTAAATTAGCTCAAATCTTCACACTTGTTGATTTTAAAGTTAACATGATGGTGAGTCACTGTTTCCAGCATGCATGAGTGATTTTAGAATGTCCCCCTCCTGTACCTCTATCCTTCACAAACACACACACCCTTTCCTTGCCATGAAGGATTTTAATCAGGGAAGGGATACAATCCAGCTTGACTATTGGAAAGACTACTTTAGACTATAGTGGGAAGTAGGATGAAGGGGAAGAGACTACAGACTAATTAGGGTGCTGGGCAGTAGTCCAGGAGCGAGAATAAGAAACTGAGTTGGTAGCAATGAGGGATGCCAGAAGTGGACTAATTCAAAGGTAATTTAGGAGCTGAACTAGCAGCCTCCGTGTCTGAACAGAAGATGGAATGGTAGTGGATTTGAGAATGGGGGAAGAATTTGAGTTGATGGGCAATTATATATAACAGGTGCTATGCCCCCATTTGTCTGGTAGGTGGTAAGTAGTAGTAAAAATTTGAATTTAAATCTAATCACAAAGCCTGTGCGCTTAACCATTTCTGCTTTGGTTTTTAAACTGAGGAACACAGGTGGGAAGTTTGGGGATGGGGTAGGGAAGAATGTTAGCTGGTTTTTGACTAAGTTCTAGTGTACTTTTTTTATTTAAAAACTCCTCAATGGCTGTTACTGCCATCATTTGCCCCGTATCACTTCCTTGTCCGGTAATCCTGTCAGCATGGTCCTGACATGATCTGCATTATCTCATGCCAGCTCCAGCCCTGTGTCCCGCTCTTGCATCCCACTTCCTGCCCCCAGTCCTGACCGTAGCGAGGAGAGCCAGGATCTGACACAGCCTGCACCAGCTCTGAAAGTCTCTCCAAGTTCTGCTGCCTCAGGGCAAAGGTGAGACTCAGCTCTTCCTCAGGGTCCACACGGCCCAGGGACACCCAGCCTGGGGGCAGCCTGCAAGGTCAGGAACAGGACCTTGGTTAGGCTATGGGTGGAAAAGATGAGTCAGGGAAGGTTCTGGTTAAGAGTCGAGACTTTGCATAGGATTCTAGAAGCAAATATGGATCATAGGAGGTGGATAACAGGGAACTAAGCCCCCGGAACCTGAGAATAAGGATAGGAGAGGCACCAGTTGCTGGTACGAGGGTGAGGGAAGCTAGGACCAGGAAATGGAAACGGGGAAAAGAGCGGTCAGTGCTAAATCAACTCACGTCCGACGCTGGTCGGGCTCCGGGTTATAACTGCACTTGCAGGCAACGATGAGGGCAAGGAGCCCTAGAAGGCTGCAGGGACAGCAAGTGGGTTTTGGCGGCAGCTGAATTGTCATTGTGCTTCCACCCCTACAACATGAATTCCCTCCACCCGCTGCGACCACAATTTCTCACCAGGCTCGGAGTCCCATTTCGCCTTTCTGCTGATCCGCTGTCATGTGACATGTCACATGAGCCCTGTCTTCCACTTCCACCCCCTCCCGGCCTAGTAACTAGTAATGATGCTGGCTCCTCCCTCTCAAATGAGTGGTCCTTAAAGCTGTGAAAGTTGTAGCGCCAGTAGGATTCTCCCTCCGCCTCCAGAATCACTTAATCCGCCTGTGCTTGGCGCCCCTAGGAATCTTAAGTGGGTAGGTTCTGAAGGCCCACAGATATGGGTTCTTTTTAGCTGTGAATTAGGAAAATAGCCTCATCTCTCAGAGCCTAGGCCTTTTCATTTATAATAGAGACATATAAAAGCAATCTCCCTCATAGGGTTGCAGTGAAATTTTACACTGATGTTCTAACATGGCAAAGACTCAACAAATATGCCCTCTATTATGTATAATAGAGGAGGAATCTCTCCACTTAACTGCTCTTATATCTTCCCCCCACCACCTCTTTTCAGATCCTCAGGTCTAGAACCTTAGATCCCTCCCTACCCATCCAGTCCCTCTCTGCTGACCTCTTGCCCATGTTAGAGGGAAAAGACTGACTTCAGAGAGATGGGATCTCAGCCTCAGGCTAGGCTCCTGAGCTCCTAATGCCATCCCTATCCTAAATGCCCCCATGTGTATCATCCCTCTGTGCCTCCTGACGTATCCACAGTACTGTGCCAAGTGCCTTCCGGTCATCCCCATAGAAAAAACTGGAGGCTGGATACAAACTGCAGTTTATTAAGGCTCCAGAGTGAGAATTGGCACTTGTTCTGGGCAGGGGTAGGGGTGTCAATGGAACCCAAAGTAGCTGGGCCCAAACAGGTTGAAGGGTCCTCCCCCACCTTAATACCCCCCAATAAATAAAGTCTCAGCTCCATCGCAGGTGCTGGTGCAGGACAGGGCAGGAAGTCCTCACTGAGGAGATCCCAGGGCTGCTGCCTCCTTCATATTTCTTCCCACGCTGGACCTGGCCACAAGTCAGTGACTAATAGACCCTCTGTGGTCCTAGTGCTCCGAGGGGGCTGGGGTGAAATGTGGGACCTGCCCCCACTGGAGGAGTTTGGGGTGGAGAACTGGGGCTTGGTGGTGGCCTCCCCATGGCCAGTCATGGTCCGAGGCTGCCCAGGACAGGCTCAGAGTGGGGCCTGCATTGGGGACACTGTGCGCATCCCAGGTCGGGGCCCAGCCTGGGCCACAGCTAGATGTGCAGCTCTGTGTCATCAGGAGGCTCCAGGCCGGACTCTGTGCTGAGTGCTGAAGCTGAGGGGCCCTGGGCCACCCCAAATGGTGAAACAACAGGCGAGCGAGCAGCCAAAGGAGACAGCGAGGGTGAGAAGCTGGGGGACATGGCAGCTGAGGACAGGGAGCCTTCATGGCTGATGGGGGAGCGGTGAGAGGCTGGTGGGAAGATGGCCCGGGTTGCAGCTGTGCTTGCAGGCTTAGGGGGCACAGACTTGGCTCCTGGGTGGGCCACAGCAGTGATGAGAGGTGGTGGGTCAATACGGGGAGCGGGGGGACATGGCCGAGCTTCATCCTTGAGCCGAGCAATCTCTGTGAAGACACTGGCCAGAGGCTGGAACTGAGGGCACCAGCTCAGCAGGTAGTCCCAGTTATAGCTGCCACGGAGCTCCTCCTCACCAGCCACAATTGCTGTCAGTGCACCTGCCACGCATGGCTTGCCATCTGCTGGGAATCCATAGTCCCCAGTGGGTGCAGGGCTCAGGCCACAGCCCCCCAGGAAGGCTGTGGCAGTAGCTGGAGGCCCCTCCTCTCGGTACAGAGTGGCTCCTGCACCTGGCAGCAGCAGCCCTGCCTTTCGGCTCTTATACCAGGTGTCAGGGGCAGGTGGCTCACAGGATGTGTCACTCAGTCCATCTGCATCTTGCTGGATGCCTGAGTCAGGGCCACGGGCAGCTAAGGAGGAGGCAACACTGGCCACACGGGGAAACTCATTGATCATGCGGATCTCATCATCCTCTGCAGCCTCTGCTGAGCCTCGGCCACTTGAGTGTGAAGGGTCCAAGGAGCCACCACGGGGGTAGGGACCACCAGCTCCTGGCCCACCATAGCTGGGAAGAGTCTGGTGATACAGGTGTTCTGAGGGTGGTGGACTAGGTGGTTCCCGTCCCAGCTTCTGCAAGGAACCACTGGCTAGGGGTGCTGTCTGTGACATTGGGCCAGGGGCTGCCTCAGCCTTTCGGCTACGAGCCCGAACAAGTCCTAGAACCAGGGCTGTGAGTGCAAGCACCACCACAACTCCTAAGGAGGCTGCCACAGCTCCCACCAACAGTAAGTTGAGGTCAGCTGCCAGGCCTAGTGCAGTGTGGGTGATATCCACGGTCACAGGCACTGTGGCACTCCGGGAACCAGGCAGAGGCCCCCGTGCTACTACTTCGAGCCTCAGCTCTCGTGGTGTTTCACGCCGGGTCCGACCCCCTCCCCCAGAGGGGGATGTTCCGCTGCCTGGTGCCCGACTGTCCACCCGCAGGTACAGGGCACCTGTAGTCTGGTTGATACTAAAATAGGGGGAAGATGTGGCGAGGGAATAGAGCACCAGGCCATCAGCACCTCCATCCTCATCTGTGGCCTGCACATGACCCAGACTGTGGCCACGCTGGGCACCTTCTGGCACTTGGAAGTGGAAACTTGGAGCCAGGAATACAGGGTCATACTCATCCTCTCCAGTCACCAGCACTGACACAGTGACAGAGGCTGAGAGATTCCCAGCATCAGCAGCACCCACCAGCAGCCGGAAGCTTCCTGTATGCTCATAGTCAAAGGGCACTCGTGCCCGCAGTTCCCCACTTGAGCTGTTCAGTGCAAATGCCTCACGACCCTCAGGCCCTGGACCAGCCTCCAACAGGCTATACCGGAGCCTCCCAAAAGCCCCAGCATCCCCATCAATTGCATGCAGCGTAGTCACAAGAGTGCCTGGAGGTTGGTTCTCAGCCAGGCTGGTGCTGAGTAAGTTCAGTGGAAAGGCTGGGCCATGGTCATTCACATCCTGGACCTCGACTGTCACTGGTGCCAAAGCGAAGTGTGCCCCAGCAGGGTCAGCAGCCTGCACTACAAGCTGGTGTCGAGCTTGGATCTCACAGTCCAGAGGCCGGGCCAGTCGCAAGGACCCTGAGCTCTCATCCAGCTCAAAAAGTCCCAAAGGGTCACCTGAACTCAGGGTGAAATGCACAAGGCCATGAGGACCAGCATCAGCATCAGAGGCCTCCATGTGCAGCAGCTCAGCACCTACAGGCATGTCTTCAGGTACTGTCACACGGTAGGATGCTTGGGTAAAGACAGGTGGATTGTCATTGACATCTAATATGGTGACAGTTACTGGCACAGCTGAACTTCGAGGTGGCTGCCCCCTGTCAGCTGCAGCCACAGTTAAGTTGTACTGTGTCAAGCTTTCAAAGTCTAGAGGTTCAAGCAACACCAGGCAGCCCAATGCCTGGGGACCTGGTCCAACACCCTCCCCAGCCTCAGCCAAACGGGGTTCTAGCTGGAACACTTGGCCCCGGTTGCCACTGATGATGCTGTAGTCCACAGTGGCATGGGTGCGGCTTCCGTCAGCATCTGTGGCCTCCAGGGTGAGCAGGGTGGAACCAGGGGGCAGATCTTCAGTTACAGCCACACGGTAGTGTGGTAATGTGAAGCTTGGGGCATGGTCATTCTGGTCCTGTAGCTGCACATGCACTGTGGCCTGTGCTGCCCGGCCTGGAGCCCCATGGTCTCGTGCTTCCAGCACTATATCCACCACTCCTGGCCCTTCATGACCCAAGGCCTCTGTTCCCACTGTTGTGAACAAAGTTCCTGAGATGAGAAGGAAAGAGGAAGAAACATGCACTTAGCAGTGGCTATGTGACAGCAGAAGACACATTTCCTCCAGTCTAGGCAATGGCTTTGGAATGGCCCATGTACGGGGACAGTATGCAATGCTCTCAAGGAGTCAAAGCTCAGGAAAATCTTCTAGGCATGCAGTAAGGAAAGGACTTATATTAAAGGCAGAGGGGAGAAAAGGCCCTCCCTGGGTCAGTTCCAGGAGTCAAAATACTGGGTAATAAATTCTAGGAATGAGGTATGAATACAGCCCAACATTGTCAGAGATAAAGGGGTCAGATCCTGGAAAAAACGCACCATTGTTAGGGTCAACACTGAAGCCCTCGGCAGGAGAAGCCAGATGGTAGGAGATGTGACCATTGGCACCTGAGTCTGGGTCCGTGGCAGAGACAGAGAGAATGGCACTGCCTGGAGGTGTGTGCTCAAGCAGCATCACCTGAGGTGTGAGGAAAAGTGTTCATGCCCAAGCTTCCCAGCTGCCCCTCACCCTATATGCTAGAACTTGGTCCTAGGTGGGTGCTTTACCACTTGAACCACCCCCCCAGCCCACTGGAGCTTGGTCTTATGAGCCCTATGTGACATCCATTTCACATAATGCTTAATATCTGAATGAGAATTGCCCACCTTCTCCCCTTTCTGGCCACAGGATGCAGAACCTGGACATAGTTCACATGACCTGGAAGGCAGGTCTAAGATGAGACCTTCCCATTTCTAGATCAACTCCCACATCCAGTCCACCCAAGCCACTTCTAACTCTGTCACATCCCTCCAACAGGGAAAAATCTTGGGCCCACACATGGGGATAGCTAGGGGAGTCAGTACCTGGTAGAGGCTCTGTGAGAAAGTAGGTGTGTTGTCATTGACATCCTCCACAAGCACTGTGAGGTTAGCACGGCCCTCATGAGGTCCATCATGGGCTAGCAGCTGCAGATGGTAGTGGTCACACTGCTCAAAGTCCAAGGGGCCCGTGAGGGAGACACGCCCTCCATAGCGACCAATACTGAAAGGATCCTGGGGCCCAGATGGGCTCAGCACATACCAAAGCACTGGTCCAGAGTCCACATCATTCCCTGTTACCTGTGCAATCTCTGAGCCCAACAGTGCATCTACAAAACACCAGGCAAGGGTGCTTGACAGGGTTCCAGGCACACTTGAAGGTGCAAGATGGTTAATAGTGCCTCTCTGCCACCCTTTATACCTCTCATTTTACCCAGC